AGTTTCATCACCGCTTCCACTTCCTGCACCAGCTCCTGCTCCATGTCCACCACCACCATTTCCTGCTGCAGGTCCACCTGTGCCAGTTTCATCGCCGCTTGCACTTCCTGCACCAGTTCCTGCTCCATGACCTCCGCGATAAATTGTATACTCTGCCACACATATTGTGCATGCATATTGTGAATTATAGTAATCAACCCACTTGCTGTTTTTGTGATTGAAATCTAATGCATATTCTGAACATTTTATCATTATATCATACAGTCACACAGTAGTCATCAACCCGAGGACATGATCCACTAAAAAAGCATACACTGCGCAGAACCAAACAGATGCCAAACGAGTTGTCCCAGTCTGCCCAGTCACTGGTGTCCGTCACATGGATCTGCAAGGGTGTCGATGCGAAGTGCCCATCTGAGTCTTTTCCTCCACCGGTGTGCAAGACTCAGTGGTGTGTCCACCCCGTTCCAACCAAATCGCCGTACCACACACCAGAAGCGACCAGAAGTTGGTTCCCACACCATGGAAACGGCATATGAGTTAGCGTCAAAAATATATGCTTGGAGTGTTTTCGTTTCACTTTTGTCAGTCCCCTATCGTTTTCCATGGTTTTGGATTTTGCAAGTATGTAAACACAGGGGTATCGTTTTTTGTCAGTCCCCTATCGTTTTTCAAGGAAAATCACGAAAGCAACACAGAGATGAAACGTCCCTTACTAAAGTGGTTGATGATAATTTTGAGGTTGCCTCATATCCATGCACCGTTCCGCTTTCCTTTTTCATCCAATAGGCCAGGTAAGTGACTCGACAACTGCAACGATCCATCCGAGTTCATCCATGTCTTGGACATGCATCGCTCAGACTTCCCATAACAGCGTCTCATCATAGCACTCAGGATGCCAGAAAACAGTAGTTGGCCCATATCAGCAAAGCTATCTGGCGCTAGCCGGTTCAAGCCACACGGCGTTGGAACTGTTCTGCTATGCGTTGAACTTCTGCATCATGTAGACACTTAGCAATGGCATTACACATCTTGAGTGGGTAGGGCTGAGCAAGACGTGTCAGCCACCGCCCATGCTGATCCTGTCCACACAACCGAAGGTGAGGCCCTTGCGTGAACTGGCACAGTCCTCTTTTGGAAGCATGGCATTGCGCACACTCGAGACGCTGGAGCACCAAGTTAACGGTAACGAACAACGTGGCCTTCTTGAAAGGTTTACCCCAGTATAGCAGTAGTGAGTTACATATTGCCGTACTCGAGGTTTACGCATCAAGGCCAGCAGAGGTGGACATAGCCATATACGAGATCTTTGGGGGTTCTCCATAGATGCAAAAAGTCCAAAAACGAAGCCATAAATTCCCTGTAAGAACCTTCAGTTGAACACCAGGTCGGAGTCCGGGTAATCCCAAAGGGCAGGCGTCGCTGCGTAAAGGTGGTGGCCCAGGCGGCACGTTGCGCACGCGGGTGAAACTGTCACATGGAGTGCCTAGATGTAGGCCGATCACCCAGCCACATTTGACCCACTCTCCAATCATCCTGCGTTTAGCTGAGGACTGAAGGTCGTACTCTGAGCCAAGGTTGATGTCCCACATCAAAACATTCCAGTTGGTGTAATGCGCCACGCTCTTGGACAAGTTTCCACAACCAGAAAAATTTCAAGGGTGAACTTGCCCATGGCTGAGGCGCACACGACTCAAAGCAGGTTGCGGAGCATTGCAGCTCGACCGCGGCTTGCGGCCAGAGCTGCGTTTCTTGCGGCAGCCGGGAGCTGGTGTAGCATCTGCTGCAAGCGGCCCCCTTCTGGCGGCTTTCCATCTTCTTCTCTGTTGGATGTCTGACATTGGACGGTACTTCAGTTGAAAGTCCCTTGAAGCTCCCGCATGCCGAAGTCTGTAAGTAAGCATGGGGAGGTCCCAAGCTTGTCACGCTGAAGTGTTTGACTGCTTGTTCCATCAGTCGATTCGCGTCGGTGAACTGCACGCTGAAGAGAGGTTCCTGTTTCTTCCTGGCGGCGCACTGGGTCACGCGATAAATGGCCTCCATCAAGGCGGGCTGCTCCTCCAAATCGAAAATGACCGTCTCGTCGAACTCGGCTGCTTTCGACATCTGGCCTTCCTCGAGGGGGTGCAATACCAGCGACCATTGGGGGCGCTTGCTCCCAGTCACTGGTGGGACCAGATCTCCCACCCGTATCTTGTTCAGCTCTCCGGGACGCAGATAGGCCTCCATGGCCAAGTGCATCATTAAAGCCTGCTGCTTCTTGCCCTTCTTTACTGCAAAGTCTGCCATGAGGCACACAACTTCGTGAGGAAAGGGAAGTCTGGATAATGAAGGATCTAGGCACCTCCACCCTTGCAAGCACTGCTTTGTTGCCGGCAGCATCTGCTGACGAGGTGACCGAAGGTGCGGGCAAAAGAACCAGGCCGCTGCCACCAGGTATTGCGCCGTGCTCAAACTCTCCCCCTGAAGGAAGAGGACGTGAAGACAGTTGGTCAGGGCGTTGTCCATCTTCTTGGCAGAGCACCGGTTGTTCAACTTGACGCTTGTCGACTCCTTCAGCAAGGTCCACATTGCGTGATACCTCTTGAGGGGATTGAGACCCACCGAGGCATTCTGGAGACTTCCGAAGGTGTCCATCATCTCTTTGCGACTGCGCTGACACATCCCTGACGGTTTGTCCTGCTTGTAGGGGCCTTTTCGTTGGTTTCTTTTTCTTCTTTTTGACTGACTTCTCTGGCCCACCCAGCAAAATCTGGCGGTGGATCACCATGTGCTATGCGAGATGGCTTGCTAGGAAACAGTGAACCCCTTGAAGGACCATCTGCGGGGTTGAACTCAGATGCAATCCATCTAAGCGCCAGACTGCAACCGCTTCCAAGTAACAGTGATCCAAGTTGTTGGGTAGTTACACGGCGTAGCCCCCCTTGTCTTGCCCCTACCTCTATCAATGGCACAAATAGCCGATAGAATCAGGTGTCTGGTGTGCAGGTTGGATTGTTTGCGGAGTGCGTGCTTCAAAGCAAAGAGTGTAGCCCTAGCTTCGAAAACGCCAATCCCGATCAACTGTAGAAAACCCACCGGTTGGAAAAAAACTGTCATCCTTTCGACCCTGCCCAAAATCCAGAGGAGGCACCTGCTCTGCATTGTTGCGCTGCCCATCGGCTGCAGCCCACTGCAAAGCTTGCGTCTCGTCCGACACTTCTGAGAGTCCCACACCGAAAGCTGTCACTCTGGGGTTGGAAAAGTTCTCGGATTCAAATCTCCATCGCTCAGAATACCTACCCAAAGTTTGTACCTCTTCGTCCGAAAAAACACTGGTTCTTGCGCCCAGCCCCCACGTTGAAGCATCCACTGCAGTAACCACGTTATTCCAGCCTATAGAGAGATCTTGCCAAATTTGGAAGTATCCAACAAAAGATCTGCAACTCCCGACGAACCGAACCCCACAAGCGATGACGGTGATGGTAATGTCGATGGATAAAACTGTATGTATCACCAAAAACCGACAAGGCTTCACGTCGACCGAGACAGATAAATGCTGCGCGACCAATGATCTTTTCGAGCTGGCGAGCGGGAACTCGACCCAGCTTGAGGAGGTGCTCTATGCTCAGCCGAACTCTCCATACCCGGTGCGGCAAAGGTTGGATCTTCGTCCCACTGAATTGCCACCCAAGCACTTTGATGGGCTCGTCTGAGGTTGAGCAACTGTCCAATTCATGCGCTACCAGACCCTTATCCCGCAACGCTTGCACACCGTCCGCTGAAAGTTTGTCAACATCTTCCTTGCAAGTTCCCAAGCAAACAAAATTGTCCACATACTCCAAGTGCATGCAAGTCGTGTTGGGGAGGGCCACCTTATCTTCTAAACAACTGTCTGGACCAGCACCAACAGAGGCTACGATTCGTTGATGTAAACGTTGACACCAAAATAAAGCATGACTCCAACCCATAGGCAAAACCTTTAGTCGAGGAAACAGTTCATCTTGGGGAGAAACCGCACAACCATCGACTTCAGTTATACCAAGTTCACCAGCCCTAATGCTGCGCATTCCGAAAAATGGTCGCAACCGATCGGGAAGTTGAAAGTGGTAGAAAGCATCCTTTAAATCAGCAGTGGCAACATGTAGCTCGGCCCCTGGTGGCAGCTGAATCCTGGTCAAGGCCTCAGCTGTACATAGCCCTTCTCTGGCTTAGAAAAATGGCAATTTGACAGCCGGCAGTCACAGACCATCCGCAGTCTACCGTCTTTCTTTCCGACGAAAAAGATCTCTATCTTTTGTTCCCACCTTTCACGCTTCACTTCCACAAGATCAGCACCAATCAACCTCTGAACGAACTGACAGTAGGCGTGAGGTTCCCGAAGTCGGGGATCGCTGTAGGCTTCTTTCAAACCACAAGCCCTCACATTGCTGCGAGCCTCATTCTTAGGCAGAAGACGCGTACGACAAAATTCGTCCACCAAGGTGCAACCCTCCTCTCCAGCCAAAACCTCCAAGGGCACCGACTGGTTTCCACAAGTAGGCAGAGACAAGAGCTGGGGTGAATATGGCCGAACCGAGCACGGCATCTGGTCTTAAGCCGTACCCATCAAAAGCCCGAAGCTGCTCTATAGCGCCCCTGTGCACTCGGAGGAGGACCCAAAAGTTTCACTGAATTCAAAATATGATCCATCACAGCTTGTTGCACGCCAGAAGGGGGCACACATGTCAAAGCAGGTTCTACCTCCCCTCCACTATACATGGCATTCAAGCCCATAATGCGCTCTTCCACCGTCTGCCCCACATGATGTCGACGCTCCAGTCTCGACCCAAACCCGACGCCTTTTCAGGACAAAAAGATGGAAGTGGAAACATCTCACGGGGGACCTTCCGGTCATCGTCTTTGAGAAAACATGCGTAGTCAACCAAAGGGGTTTGTGGCATCGGCATTGAAGGCAACCCAAACTCCAATGCCGGCCCTGAAGTCAAGGGCCGTCTTAACCTTTTCCATCTTTCTTCTTGCCACCTTTCTTGGCTGCCAGCTCTCTCTCTTCTTTGGCCTTGCGAAGGTTCTTAGCCAGCAACACTTCACGCTCGGTCTCCTCCTTCACATGCGATAGGAGGGCCGTCGCGATCATCAAGGTTCCAGCATGCCTTACCACGGATCCAAAGACATACTGCCCCTCAAGGGCCAGCTTACCTCCTGCAAGTCTCGACTCACTCTCCCGAGCCTTTTCCGAATGAGCATATTCTATGGTCTGCAGGCGACGGAACATCAGCTCTATCCCCATAGAGCTGCAGCCATTGAAACAGTCAACTTGTAACAACTGTCGCAACATCATCGACAACTGAAAATGTTCCTGCACGCCCCAGCTTCGGCGCATTTCCAGGTACTAATCCGGCTGTGATTGAGGCCTCAGTGGCCCGAGCTGTGACTGAGACATTGAAATACTGTGCGGATCTTGAACCTACAACTAGCACCCTCACCCCGGAAGTGTTGACGGTAACCGGTTGGGATTTCAAGGTTGGCATCTACATACAGTTGATTATCTGTGTCCTGGTCATTGGCTTGTTTGGAGATTGTGCTGGTAAGATACAGTTTGTGCCCTTACTGGCGGACAGTGCCGCCGGACGAGGAATCCGATTCACCTAAGTCACCCCAACTGTCACTGGAGAACGCAGCTAGAAACCAGTTGGCTGAATTGCGGGTGAGACGACATGCTGACAGGGCGCTTCGCCTTGCTTGAGTATGACGTGCCTGGTCCAATAGTGATACATGAACGGATGATTTTGGACCACGTAGAGTCGGACGATTATGTGGTGTGCACTCCAGATCGAGATCTCTTTGTGGAACAGCTTACGGTTGAGAATAGTGATCTTCGAAGTTTCCGTTTGAGACCTCAGCCCAACCAATTGCCACCCGGTGTCCCATTAGGTCGAGTGTATGCCTTGCCTGTTTGGAACGCGGGGGCGATTGCAGCCATCAAGGATGAAGCCCGTCGACTTGCTCAGGCGGAGAAGACCCACCCGTAGTGCTACTGCTGTGCCGGCAGAAGCAGGGCCAGGTGGGCCAGGGGCTCATCAGCTCACTCCTGGTGTTCCCACTTGGGTCGCAGCAGAAGCAGCCGGAGGTTTCTTCTTTGGGCAGGTGGTTGATGGTGTTCAGAGCCCGGCAGTTTTGGGGAGCAAGTGTGTGCGTGTTACAGCTGAGGGACAGTCGGTTTTTTTGCATGTGCATCAGTGACGCAACGAAAGATGATTTCAATGCCAGGGCTACCATGTGTGACGCACGAATCCTGCGGAGGAAGATGAACGCACTAGGCACCCCTGAGGTGCCGCTGTCGGAGGCAGTTGCAGCCACCCAGCTGTATGAGATGGGCTGGAAGCTGACAGGGCCAAGAACGGCTCAGTGGTGCCTCAACTACCTTGTGGTGGAGGGACTGGGGCTGGAGGCTCATCATGAGCGTTTTCGACAGTTGTGCAGATTGGACTCAGCAGCAGCACAACAATGGGGACAATCACTGACAACCGACCCACAAGTGCTCCACCAATCAGAACAGTCCACAGGCCGATTCCCATGGCATGAACTACAAAAAGAGCTTGAGCGGGAATGACCACAGGTCGGCCAACTACTGAAACACTCACCCCACTCATCAATCACGTTCAAGAACATCCACGGCAAACCGGGGTTTATAACAGCGCGCCGACGAATCTGCCAAGTAAATTGGAACCCCCTCCCAATAAAATCTGCAGTTCCCAGGAGCCAACTAAACACGTCCCCTCCCAGAAAACACCATAACCTTTGCGGAAACTTCCTTAGATCTTTACAGCCTACTCACATTATCGCTGTTGCGTTTGGTAAAAACATTAGGATCCCGATAGAATCTCCGCTAAAGCTAGCGGAAACCTCCGCGCTGGGCATAGTTCCATAGCATGGTCTTTGCAGTTCGTGGCACCCACCAATTCAAGGTTATCCCATCAAAATCTCCCAAGATAATTAAACACGTGTCGCAAGGTCCCTGTAGGAATTCTCAGAAACTCCCTGAAGAAGAAAAATCAACCTCCTGTCCTCAAACCTGTCCCATCTCCACTCCCCAGACAGACCCTCTCCTGTGACCAGCAAGTGCACGTCCTGCCCCTTCTGTGGCGCTGCGCCGGAAAGCAGCATGGACATTGGATCGAAGGTCAACCAGCTGGGCAGCCCCAAGTCCGATCCACTCTTCCCATCCGTCACGGTGAAGGTCAAGAAATCGCCGTCGGGGTCGGTGATGACTGTCCTAGGATGGCCCGATGTTTGCAGAAGCTCTGTGGAGGAAGGCGACCTGTGTTGAATGTACTTGTGTGATCTTGTATGATCTTGCATGTAGGCAAAGTGAGGGTCCAGTCGTACCTTGTTCTGAGAAGGTTGACCTGTACATGGGGGCAGTTCTGGAGTTCTGAAAGCTCTTCTCACTCCCTCAATGTCCCTGGGAGTTTCACCATTCACATCCCCCATCCCACATCCCAAATAGGTTGTTGGGCAGGTGATCTGGGGCAGACCTGTTCGTTTTTAGTATGGAAAACACATCCCCAAAACACATTTTTTCCCCAAACAGTGTGGGCACACTGAGGGGTTCTTACGGTAGTAGAAAAGCAGGTGTGCTTAGATCGCTGAGGTGCGCGGGCGTGAACGGCTAATTCGTTGCTGTTTACAGTACATTCATGCCTCTCGACATCGTCCATGTGCACTTTGACTGCGCAGGCTCGCTGAATCTGGGTGTTCGCGGCGGGTGCTTCAGGCGACTGCGCTCTCATTGTGGTGCCGTGCACATTTTCGCACATGGTTGTCACTTTTCGTGGCAGGCGCAAGGGAAACCTCGTGCTTTGGTGCTCCAAAGTCGACTTTTCGTGACAGGTGCAAGGGATCGGAGGTGTTTTGCTTCGAAATGCAGTTTTCGTGGCAGGTACAGCACTTTGGACATGGTGGTGATCGTCGAGGAGCTCAGATTTCGTGACAGGCACAGCACTCTGTGCAGCACTTTGTGAACCTCGAAGTGCAGCGTGACAGGTACAGCACTTTGTGAACCTCGAAGTGCAGATTTCGTGGCAGGTACAGCACGTTGTGAACCTCGAAGTGCAGATTTCGTGGCAGGTACAGCACTTTGTGAACCTCGAAGTGCAGATTTCGTGGCAGGTGCAGCACTTTGTGAACCTCGAAGTGCAGATTTTGCGGTCACTCTCCCACTCTCACTCACACTCCCTCTCACCCACACTCACTCACACCCACAGTCACTTCATCACCGCCATCACCTCTCTGGACCCCAATGCGTCTAGATCTCTAGACTTTCTGCTTGCAGACCTCACACACACTGTTTGGGGTCTCTTGCCAGGATAATTTCTGGGTATAGGCGGTATAGGTCATAGTAGCATAGTAACATCTCAAATCAGTGCTGGACAGTGTTTGCTCGATTCTGGAGTGCACAAACCTATCTTACAAAGAGGCCAAGATGACTTCCACTGGCCTCACTCAGACAGCACTCAACAGAACACCAGATTCATCTGCACCACTCAGGTCTCGAACTTTGTGGCAAAACGACAGGCAACGCCTCCCGCCTCGACCAATCGAGCGACTCCCTCAAAGGCCAAATCTTGATCCTAAACCTCTGGAGCATGGCACACTCTTGCACCCGGCGTTTCGCGTGTTTTTCCCGAATGCGTAGCGAAGGGTTCCCGTTTATAGTTGGGGGTCTGGGGGTTGGAGCGGTGTTTGCATGGCTTGCGTCGTGTCGTCGTCTCTCGTCGTCTCTTGTCGTCGTGTCGTCGTCGTCGTCGTCGTCGCTCAAATTTGCTGCCATTGGGGGAAGCTTTTGCAAGTGACTTTGCATGGATGTGTCACGCGTCAGTTTGCGCCGCTATTCCATTGTGATTTGCATGACAATGACACGTCGCGCAAGAAACGTGATGCATTTCCGCAGCGTTTTGTGAGATCCGCAGATTGCTGCGCAGTTCCATTGGGATTAGCGTTTGGAGAGTCGTGCTTTTGGGGTGTTGGATGTGGCTGTGCCATTGGGATTTGCGTTTCAGGGTGTGGCATCGAAGCTTGGTTTTCGTGACAAGTCTCAGCTGAAATGCCGATTTTGGTGGATGGGAGTGTGCTCAGAACGGGTCGAAATCATTCCAAACGTGTGGTGTGGTGCAAATTTTGTTGAAGCTTTGTGCGGGTTTTGAAGCGTGGAAGTGCGATTCTCGTGGCAGGCGCAGGGAATCGTGAGGTTGCGAGGTGTGACGGAGGTGACATTTCGTGGCAGGCGCAGTACTTTGTGCGCGTTAGACGTGTGGACGCGGAAAGATTCGTGGCAGGCGCAGGGAATCGTGAGGTTGTGAGTTGTGGTAGAGGTGAATGTCGCTGTCACATTGGGTTGGCGTGTGAGCGGATGTTGTTTGGAGGGGCTGGAATCGCGAAACTGCTTGGGAGGGCTGCGTGATGTGTGTGCTCCGATGGGTGTTTCCGCTTGACTTTTGGAGGAAGTCTCGTACGAAACGCTCGTTTTGCAGACTTTGACCTGTGAGTTTTTGAGGAAGTCTCGTACGAAACGCTCGTTTTGGAGACTTGACGCGCAACCCTCTGCGGAGATCGTGCGTGTCGGGTGTGCGAAATGCAGGCGAGGGTGCGATTTGTCCCATGTGCGCAACCCTCTGCGGAGATCGTGCGTGTCGAGTGCGCGAAATGCAGGCGAGAGTGCGATTTGTCCTATGCACGCGCAACCGTCTGGGGAGATCGTGCGTGTCGAATGCGCGAAATGCAGGCGAGAGTGCGATTTGTCCGGTGCCCGCGCAACCCTCTGCGGAGATCGTGCGTGTCGAGCGCGCAAAATGCAGGCGAGCACTGGCGACTTTGTAGTACAACTTTAGTACGCGGAGTATCTGGCGAGCTGGAAGATGACAACTGGTGACTTGGTACAACTTTAGTACGCGGAGCAATCTGTGGAGCTGGAAGCTGAGAACTGGCGACTTTGTAGTACAACTTTAGTACGCGGAGCAATTGTGTGGAGCTGGAAGCTGGGAACTGGCGACCTTGTAGTACTACTTTGCTGGGGAGCTGGAAGAGTGTCCCACGAGAGTGTCCCGCAACAGTGTCCCACTAGAGTGTCTCACAAGAGTGTCCCTTAAGAGTGTCCTACAGGAGTTTCCTATACAAGAGTATCCTACAAGAGTGTCCACAAGAGTGTCCTACAAGAGTGTCCCACAAGAGTGTCCTATAAGAGTGTCCCACAAGAGTGTCCTACAAGAGTGACCCACCAGAGTGTCCTACAAGAGTGTCCTACAAGAGTGTCCCACGAGAGTGTTCAAGAGTGTCCCGCAACAGTGTCCCACTGGAGTGTCTCACAAGAGTGTTTGTTAAGAGTGTCCTACAGGAGTTTCCTACAAGAGTGTCCTACAAGAGTGTCCCACAAGAGTGTCCCACAATAGTTTCCTACAAGAGTGTCCAACAAGAGTGTCCCACAAGAGTGTCCCACAA